AAAAAAAAACTCCATTATAATGTATAAATTATCTGTAAACACTTGTAATCATAAAAAGGTCAAAATAATCAGATAAAACATTGATAAAGGGGTCAACGATTTATGGTAATTAAGATGGAGAATGTTCAAAAATTTATTTCGAGAGCTTTCGAAGTGAAAAATACGCAATTATACTGCTATACTGTACCAAGACCACTTTAACAGCAATAAAATTCATTAAGATCGGAAAATAATTGATAATTGCTCTTTTTTTCAATTACCTCTGACATTTTCCGTTTATTCAAATTTATTTTCCCACATAAATCGATTTCTTTATATATTTTCCTCTCAATTCACTAATAAAAATCATTAAAACCTCAGGATATTTATGATTTTTCTATTGGAATATTCTAATTGAATAATTTTTATTAATTCTAATATTCTAATTGAAAGCGTCAATAAATAAAAAAAAATGAGAAATCCTTCTCGTTTTTTACTATTCACCGAAAATTTTTTATTTATTTTTTTGCAGTATAATTTATTGCAAATGCAATAGTGGATGTGCGCGATTTACAATTGTGATGTCTCGAACGTATCACCGGCTTCTTTGCTCTCCCACCTGTGCTCCTCGTCGCCGAAGGTGGTTCTATGGTTTCATTTACATTTGTGATACCTTATCAGTGCGTTGGGTACAGCGATGACAGATTTCGCACTAGATATTTTGATTTTTTGTTTAGCTGAAAACAAAGGGATTATTCCAATCGATGGAAACACGCGCACGCGGAACTAAAAATTAATTACAAATTGTGATGAAGAAGTTATTCCCATCTTTATTATTATGAACAAAATTGAAGTGTCATTTTGGAAAATATGATCTGTCCCGATCTCGTAAGATTCATCGGTCTTCTAGTGCTGGGTAAGTACTGCATACGAGGAAAATCCCGCATGTCAATTCCTCTCGTGATAATTACGATGAAAAACATTTTTTTTGTAATTTTTCAAAGAGAAAATATTTTATTATCGGGGGATTCCATGATTTTTCAATTGGTGTAATAGTTTTTAATTTGAATATCGAGTTGAATAATTAAATTTAGAGGGAATTCTCCGGGATTTAATTGGTCATTAGGGAAATTGACGGTTTCCGAGGGGCTATCTTGTTACCAGTGCAATGCTGACTTGTCAATGGGTCTCAAGGAGGAATGTAATGATCCGTATGCACCAGGACCTGCCATCGATCTCGTGGAATGTCCTCAGAACGAGTCCCATTACTGTCTCAAGGCTGCTATTTACTGTGAGTACTTTATTTACACAATTGCTATAACACAATTCCCACAAGTTCATAGATAACATTTTAAAAAATCCAAAGAATTTATTTCTGATTTTCCTCCAATTCGTATTATATCGATACATAAAAATTTATGTTCATATAATTATTCCAATATTAATATAAATTATTAATTTCTCCTGTTCTGCATTGAGCGCTGAAAATTTCATCTTCGATTCGTGTGACATAATTCTTCTCTATTTATAGAATATGCAACCTCGTAACATTTTCGTCTGTGATTTTGTTCCATTTGAGTAGATTTTCGTGCTTCATCGCGCACTTCCGTTGGTACGTGGAGAAAAAAAAGTTGCATTGTATACCCGAATGCGACAAACAAACTTTATCTCGAAGTCGTCTGAATAGGCGGTGATCTTGCATCTCGCTCTCTTCTCCCCGATTTTTCACTCTCTCGATGCACCGAGAGTTATTTAGATAAAGCCTTCAGTACACTCGAGCGACATTTAATTATTCGGGGTACGATCGGATAATGTTGTGGAATTAAAACACCAATAATAATAATAAATAATAATAAATTAATTAATGAAAGGTGAATATTTTGAAAAATGAAAATTCTTCAAAAAATATAATCTCAAATTTTCTCGAAAGATAAACAAAATGATTTATTATAAATAAATTATTCATAAATCAATAAATGAATAATTATTATAAATCGTTGAAAAAAATATAAATTCAATAATTCACTTAGATATTAATTCTCGTCAATTTATCTGGGAATTATTACCGAAATGAAGGATTTTACACACGACACACATCATCTACGATAAAAAGTTCAACCACCTGGCACACCTGCGTGATCTCCAGAGGGATGAAAGAACACATGTTACCCCACACATTTTCCATCCCATCGTTATCACAGAGTCTTTATTTTTATTTCAGATAAAAATGTCCACGCGACTGTGAGGGGTTGCGTGCCATTGCGGTGGAAAAATACGTACTGTTCACCTCGTGATGAATTTGCTGAGGCACGGGTCACGTGCAAATTTTGCAATGAGAATGCCTGCAATGCATCCTGGATACCGGTAATGAATGGAGATTCAATCACATCAATTTTTATTGTTGTCGTGATGAATTTTGTCCTCGGATAGAGGAAATCCCCTTCAAATCCAAAAAAAAAA